CCGGAGCGCATTTGCGTGTGCGCGGTGAAAAAAAAATCGAATCGAAAACGTCCGAATCGCGTAACGATCGTCAAAATCTTATGCAGCAGTACGTGTGCTGTTTTCGATAAAGATAACAAACGAAAATAACGACAATAGTAACGTACAATAGACAACATACGGTATTGCTGCGAGACACGTTGCGCTAACACTCACGGGACATTAGGAGGGATTCGCGTTCACCGTCGCGGCAATGGTAAACGCGTGCGGTTCGGAAACTATGAAAATTCAGTGCAAACGAGTGTGTGACGAACGCGTGTGACGACCGATTGAGAAGCGATCGCAGAATCGACACGTGCGGTGTCGTCCGGCGATTTATCAACACGTGTGTTCATTAGAGACGTATATATTTTGCAATGTGAAGGCTACGGAAGTGTTGTCGGAACGGAAAAAATGGAAAAAATCGATGTACAGGCGAGACAACGAGTGACACAGAGAAAAAGAATGTGAGAAAGAGAAGTACACAAGTTTCACGCAATCCACAGCAGCGCAGTCGGTCGTGTGCGGAATCATTTTTCAAACGACCGTTCTCGCGTGATCCTCTCTCTGTTCAATTCATCACAGATCAAGTGGTTAACAGGAGAATGTCAAACGGCCCATATAATTCCTCGCCGTCGCGGGTCCCCTCCACCATCCCGCCGACCGTTGAGCTCGCGTCTCCTGCGCCGCCCGTTCGTTCCCTCCCGACGAGTGACGTCTCGCGCGCACACCAACGCCCACACACATACGCATTACATTATATTCCGGTGCCTATGCGCTGCAGTGTTTCGCCGCAAACGCATCGTATTCTTTCGCAGAACGGGTCGTAACGATGATTTATTTATGCGGGCGCGCGATCACTGCACCTCTACGATGCATCCCCCGCCCGTGTTCCCGCCTAAAATATATTTCGCGCATGACGCGTCGTATTGGCTATTACGATCATATACGATATATTGCGCGGATACATGTATATTATTGGATATATTGCAGTGTACACGTCAAAATATCATCGAGTGATAAAATAATATGTCAAAGATGAAACAAAATGGATCGATGTACAATTCACATGTTTATTGTGTTTACAGCAATCCGTTTATCATTGGCAACGTGGCCAGGGGACACGCCCTCCCCCCGTGCACCGCACTGCCGGGGATGTGTGACATCGTGGGCCGGCCGTAATAATGCGATAAGATTCGGTTTACGCGCGCGTATTACATAAATCCCTGGGCCGCCGAGACGCACGCGAATCGCCACCGCGGTCGGAAGGTTTCCGAAACCTTTCAAAACGTGAAACGCGAAAGGAAAAAAATAGTGCACCGATACAAATAAATAAATAAATAAATGACCAACGTTGACGTACGCGGAATCGGTGGTCGAAGAAAAATTTATCCAGAAGAGGCACCAGGGACGAGGGGTGAAATTTGCCATCGGTTGCAAAAAACCCGCATCGGAGAAACCGTACAAAGCGCGTGTTTTCCGCTTCGGTGAAATCCGATTACCATCCCGTCTGTCCCCGCCCGTACCGCACACACCGCAGCACCACCGACGAAAGCCTCGCAGCGTTGCGCAAAATTGCAGTCTTTTTTCAATTGCACTCGTCAAGAAGGGTCATCGGCGGCCGACGGTTTTATTACACATGACGTACCTACGATACGCGTGTACGATAGTTTGCTAAACAGTTTTCAGATATAATACGTATATTTGTAATTTATGTGTATGTGTATTGAGATTTCGCTGACGTCAGCCGATACGTGTGCGTGTTCTAATGCCTACTTCAAATAGAACAAGAAACTTCAACGTGTCCGGTGGATACCGAAATACTTAGCGATTCGTATTCACGCGCGCGTGCGTAGGTACGTGACTGTAACACTTGACATGACGACCGATGAGATTGACAAAACTTGATTTGTCCCGAAACACAAAACCTGCATTTTTCATTGCACCGAACAGCGTACTGGCCGAAAACGATTATTATTTCGCGTACACATTGCGCACCCTGATGATAAACAAACGAAAGTGTGCGATTTGCCAAAAATCGAGACGTACGGCATGTGATGCCACACGTGAAGAATAATTCCACGTTCGTACGACAATTGTTAATTGTTCAATACTTCGCTCGTTATAGGATTTCGGTACGCAAACCTAGGAAAAAATGTGTGTACGAGCGAACATTAAATTATATATCGAATGCAAGTTTAACGATGGACGGATAATATTTCGCGGCTCGTTTGCAGACTTCCCCGGAATATCCTCGATCGGAGACGATTAATATTATATTTTATTTTTTTTTTAACGAAAACAACTCGTTTCCCTAACAATGAGCGACGATAAAATTGTAGCCGATGGGGTGGGAAACAAAAAGAATCCGTCCAGGCGGCAGTTCATAACGATATTTTTCGAACAATTAAAAACGTAAAGAGGAGAGAATAATGTATAACAGATAGTTTGCTGGAGGGTGGTGAAATAGGGATGATTGAGATAGAGAACCGGAGGAAAGAAACAATGAGATGCGGTGTGGCGGGCGAGTCATGGGGAAGGGAAGACGGCGAAGAAAATATAGTCAATAAAACGCACCCTGGAATATAATAGAAAAACGCGTCCGTTCGTCTGGGACAGTTAAAGCTATCGTAAAAGTTTCGCGTATCGCGTCATAAAAACGGGGCCAATATGGCCGAGCGCGGTTCCCTTAAGACGGTTTTTGCTGCGAATTTCTTTCTCCTACGCCTCGTCCTCTGCACCGCTATTACCGCGCCAACACTCGGAATATTTTCTCGGTATTATTCTCGTTTTTTTTTTTCTTTCTTAAGGCTAGTGCGCGCACACATTGGCCATAATTTATTGCAGATGTTAGCATACGATTTGTATCGGCCTAAAAAAGAATATTATTATGACCATAAAAAGAGTGAAAAAAAAAAAACCGAACGAACGAACAAGACCACCGCCGTCTCCCAAAGACAGACGGTTTTTACAACCCTGCGCGCGCGCGTGTGTGTGTGTAACGCTCGTTTTATTTTTCATTAAAATAAAGTCTCCAGACTTGCGTTTTATATTTATATTTTTTTCCGTTAAAACTCCACGGACCAACAAACACTCTTTCTCCCCATCTGCGAATATCTTTAATGACCAATAAAACGCGTACATTAGTCATGTACATGTAACATATACATTGCATGGTATGCAATAACGCGCGTTTCGCTCCCTGGAACAACAATACGCACGTAGAGCGTTGTTCGCGCGAAAGACAGCCACAGGAGTACATATTTTCCTAATCCTTTTCTCATGTCCGTGGAGGTCGAACACGTGTTTGCCCGACACCGGGAATCGGTCGGACAAACGAATATACCGCGACGATATTTGCTAATAATCGTGCCCGCGCGCTGCACCGAACAGAAAAATCTCCATAACCCGACCGATCGCGTATATAATTCGTGGCGAGCGCATGCGGGTGCGCGCGCGTGTGTACGGAGCGCTGCGCGAACGCCTCGGTGGGAGCAACAGATTTGATTAATCGTTCCCACGGCCGAGATGAAGATAATGATTGCTGAGGTGAGTCGACACATTCTTACGAAAATTTACAGGTGCCACGATGTACGTATGTGAGTGTACACAAGCGCGTGCACGTATATATGATAATGATGATAATGATGATGATGATGATGATGTGTGGAGCAGCGACTGCGGTGATATGTGAACGAGTTCGGCGTGACGGAATAAAAAAAATATTAACCGGGAAAGACGTAGAGAGAAAAAAAATTACCGAACTAAAATATTTTGAAATTTAGACGTCGTACAGCAAGAGTGTACAATAGTAATATTCATCAAAGTCGATTCGATGCACACACTCAGCGCGATTCCCCTCTCGCAACGATATCGTGCACGCAAGTGGTACGTGTTCAGGATGTACGTCCTGCGCCCGCCAATTTTTGGTTTTCGGTAGATTTCCGAGAGGTTCGTTCCGGGAGGAACGAAAGAAACCCGCGACGGTCTAACGGTCGTAATAGTTGTACGCGTGCGCGCGTGTTATTTATCGTCTTTTACGCGACGGCCGCACTGGGGTCGAAACGTTTTAATTATTGTTCCGCGAGCACCGAATCAATTCATCTCGGTCGAGATCGCGGGCGAGCCGCTCGGCCAAACACGTTTTCTTACCGTAATTGAAACCGCGAATCCTGTAAGCGCGCGCGCACGAACCAATATACACGCAATCGATGTCACAGGATTCGGATTTACTTAATTATCGTATAAAAAAAAAAAAAAAACTCTCGGCGACGGCCCGTGGCGCGCGCACGCTGCAGCTGGTACAGACCAGATCTCGCGGAGGTCCTCTACAAACACACGCGCACCGCGTAGTGTATGATCATAAAATACAAATATAAATACAGGTACCCGCTGCTATATTAATCGATCGCGTGCACGTTCGTACCGGACACGAATTCAATACGCCAAACGTCCGCCGGGCAAGAGCCCTCGGCGCCGCCGCCGCGTTTACCTTACCGAAGAGATCGCTGTAAACATCATTTGTTAGAAACATATCGCGTACGCATTACGGTCTACAGCAAACGGTACGATGTTTTGATGTATTGTAGAAACGTGTGCAAAAGTTAAAAAATAAAAATGTAAAAAGGACGCAGAGGCGCGTTCCCGAGATCAAAACATAGGCCCAGCCATGGTGATTGTTTTAATTTATATAGATAAACGTTATTTATTTTTTGTTAAGTTTTCAAACCATTTTTGAATTTATCCAGAGAAAATGATCGTATGACACAATTCGTCCTGTTTGTTTTGCCAATAATATTTAAAGATATTAAAAAGTAAACGATAACGGTGTAAAAAACATCATTGTTATTTAACGGGTGCACCGACGCCCCCAAAAGGACATCACGTTCGGAATACGGTCCCGTGCACACGAATCGTATCGGACGGTGAACGTTCCGAAGGAGATCTCCTGACGCAGGACAATGGGAAAAAAGCGGACTTACCGGTGGAAAAGTTGACCATGGGAACGTTGTTGGTGATGGCGTCCGCCACGTCCGTATTCAGCCCGTAGATCTCCAGCAGCTCGCGGACCGTGTTCTGAGCGTATTCCTTCAGGTCGGTCGCGTCGTGCGGCTGGTGGTGCAGGTGCGGATGGTGACCGGCTGCCGCGGCGGCCGCCAGTATGTGCTGCACGCCGTGCGCGGCCGCGGCAGCTGCGGCTGCGGCGGCTGCGGCCGACGCGGACTGCCGTTTGTCCGTGGTCTGTGACTGCTGCACCGCGCACGTGAGATCCATCGGGGCGGAACCGTCATCGACGCGCGGCCGCTTGGCCACAGTCGACCCGGTGCACGCGCTCAGGTCGAGCACGGCAGCGGTCGTGGCAGGATCGCCGGCGGCCACGGCCGGATCTCCGGCCGCGTCCACCGCGTATCCGTTATCGCGACCGTCCTCGGCCGTTTCTTGCGTGTAGCTGATGTTGCGCGGCTGAAAGTTTTTCCGCTTGTTCCGCGTGCTGCTGCTACTGTTGTTGTTGTTATTATTGTTGTTGATGCAGTTGTTGACAATGATGCTGTTGTTGTTGTTGTTGTTGTTGGTGATGCCGGCGTTCGACCTGGCTGTCAAACAGACGGGCTGCTGCTGCTGTTGGTATTGGTGTTGTTGTTGTTGTTGTTGTTGTTGTTGCAATTGCAACTGGTGCTGACGACGGCGTCTGTTGTGCTCGTGCTGCTCGTCTCGGGTTCGGTCGGCTTCGGCTTCGGAGTCCGTGTCCTCGGCCGATGAGTACACGCCCAGCGGCGGCGTTTGCACTTTGCTGTGCCGAGCCGCTGTGGCCGTCGCCGCCGGTGCAGCCAACAATCCCGTATCGGCCATTGTCACCATTCAACCTGTATTGGACAAACGAAGACAACACCGATTAGACATGATTGTTGTACAATCATCAAAGGACTTATTAAGTAGTAAATAGCATTTTTACGCGCGTAGAGTACGTTTTTTTTCCGTTGCCGATCGCCGAAATGCTTATGGGCAAACGAAATCGTAAAAGAAGTGGCGTTTTCTTTTTTTTTTGGTGACTCCGTACGTCGATGATCAACGGGCCGGGGCAACAATGCGATATATTTTTAATTTTTATGTATACGTTTTTACTGGCCATGGCTGGACAATGGGCGTACGCGGACCTCATGCGTCGAGCGCAGTGTTAACGGACACGGTGTCTACTCGCCGAGCGAAATCCGCGCAACGTATCGGTATCGCTTCCGGCCGAACGCGTAACGTGCGTCGCGCCGGTGATCGGTTCCCGCGCGTACGCGGTCTCGTCGCCGAGGCGCCCACAAAAGAAACGGAATAATGGGACACGTAGACGAGACGTGGGAGAAGAATTTTCCTCGACGACGTGTGAGACGGCCGGATTTATTTTTATTTTATTTTTTTACCCGTTCTTTTGTACGCTGACGGCCGCGGGCGCCGTCGACGTCGTTATTGTCGTTATTTTTATTAACGTTGTTGTTGTTGTTGTTGTTATTATTATTATCATTGTTATCGTTAGATTCGCGCAACATTTGCGCCGGAGCCACGGTCGACGTCGACGTGACGGGTTTCGGAGGCGTAGGGACCGGTCGCGGGACGAGTTCGTACGCCGGCGGGAATGAGAACGGCACGTGCTATACACGTTTGGGCCAAGATTTTTTTTTTGGAGGCTGTACGCGTCTACGAACTGGATTCGGCCGTGGCGGACCTGGAGCTGCGGTAATTAGTATTCCCCCGTCGTTTCGAAGACCGCTGGAAAAAATCACGGACCAATAAAATAAAAAAAACCAATACAACCCGATTTCTAACGACGATCGATTTTCGAAACGGTCTAGACGAAGTGAAAGCCATGCGATGCACGATGGTCACGGTGTTATTATTGCCGGGAGATGACGACCGGGGTGAAACCGCAGCAGCGCACGCGGTCCTGTTGTTGTTGTTGTGCCGCGTGGCGGAAGGAATTTCGGTAGAGAAGATCTTGGCAGCAATAAATATCGCAAAGGTTTGGACCGAGAGGGGTTGGCAATGTGCGATCAGGTGCCGGACGAGGAAATCCCCCCCAGGATCATTAGTCACACACGAGTTACCGATGTGTATGCTTGCGCGCTCGTCCCCCTGCCCGAAACTATTTAGGTGCAGTTCGGGCGAGAGAATAAAAAAAAAATCACGAATACACACACACACATACACACGAGTATTACGTATTATTATAAATATAAAAACCGTGTCCCGCAAATCAATGAACCGTGTCCGCGCGCGCAGTATCGGTGTCTTTTATTTCGGATGCGATTTTCCACCCTCCCAGCGCCGCGGTTGCAATTTAATACCGTTTGCCAGAGGGATGTGTAAACCATTTAATAATTTGCGTTTTCCGCAACCGATACCGTGGACAAATAGTGTAAACAGATGTAAAACCGTTTGTCCGCGGGGGTCGTGTTCGTAACGAAAAAAAAAGGGTAGGTGTTCATGGAATCCGTGCATAATTGGTTAGAGTTATTTGTAGGTATTTCGTCCGATAAACGCATATTATAGGTCGTTAGACGTACGTCGTGTGTAGGAAAATATAAACGTTGTTACATGCAAACTGACTTTTTTTAATAATCGGTTTTTGTTTTAAATTATTCAAAAACAATAGGAGTTGGGTTTCAACTAACCTTTTTGCACTCGAATAATAAAATTGAGTTAACGGAAACAACGAAAAAAAAAGTAAATAAATTACATATGGAGTAACAAAAAAAAAAAAAAAAACGCTGACACCTGGTTACTGATAATGTACAGGTGTGTCCCGCGGCAGTAATAAGTGACATGACTGTGTATTACATTCTGAGGAAAAGTAAAAATCATATTTTTACCCAGTAACAACAATGATAATCCGATTAGGTGTTGCACACAAAAACGGTTTCGAAATCGTCGCGTCGAGACGGTACACAAATTTCTCGACAGCTTCGTGATCGCGAACGGATAAAATCGTGTTTGTTTTATGTCGAGACGGGGGTGATGGGATAGGGGAAGGGAATGAAGGGATAAACCTACCAGCACCAACAGTTTTTTATGCTTTTATTCGTTACGTTACTTTGGTCGACAAGATTTCGTGACAGCTGCACCTCCGAAGTACATACCTACAGATAGCCGGCTGCACTACCGTTTATGAAGTAAACGACTGCATTAATTACACAATACCAACGTAATACACGCAGCACGCACCGAGTGCGGGTGATATTAAAAATGTACGGTTTCCCTTTTCTCTAATTTTTGAATTTTTTTTTTTCCCCCAAAAATAAACATTGTGGTCCGTCACTGCGATCGCAGCAGCGCTACACGCCTCTGCCGCGGACAGACATCGTCGCGACTGAAGGACGTCCTTTTGTGCCCGTCCTCACAATACGTCTCATTGTACCAGAATCTCCAAACGCTCTACTCGTCGGTTTTTATCACCCTGTTTTCGTCGTAGGACGCGTAAAGGTCGCCAACATTTACATCCCCTACTGACGAGCGCGCGTCACGTGCCCCGGGGCGTGTACCGCAAAGGATACGGTTATTTATTTGCATATTTTTCACCAGAGTCAAAGGGCAGCGCGCGCGGATTTCAGCGGACAACTCGAGTGGAAAACGATCGGAGAAGAAAGGTCGTTTTTCCGCTGGACGATTAACTTCACCCTTTGCGCGCTACGTGTGCGCGAGTTAGCCGGAGCGAATCGAGTCCTCACGTGAATTTTCGCGTCCTTATTTGACGCGCACTCATCCGACCGTCCGGAAAATGCTCTCGTCGCGTGGATACCGTGCGTGCTGCGGTACCGTAATAACGTATGAATAATCGTGCGCATTAAGTATCCTATTAATTTATCGGAGACATTAACGACGGCACACGATATCGCCGTCAACAGGTACGAGTTTGGCGCAATAATAACGATGATAATAATACGAGACCACAAAACGAACATAATATACGGAGCCCATTGGTTTGTGTAGGCGCCAGCGAGCCGAACGCGGCCGATTGGTTACGGCGCAATCTTCCGGTTGTCTGACGCCGCCGCCGTTCACGGTTTGTACATAGGTACGGTATCAAGTTATTACGTGTACAATAATATAACGTGTATATGTTATCGTATTATTCTTTTGTGCACCGGCTGCAGCGTACGGTAAATTATGATTTGTTTTTCTATTTCTTATTTTCATTTTTTTTTTTTTGTGTTCAAACGCACAATATAAAATAGTACACCTCTCGTACGAGATTGTGCCCGTGCCTGTGCGCATTGTGTGTGTACGTACGCGCGCACGCCCCGGGCGGTGTCCTGCAAAACGTCCGGCCGACGAGTAGACGGGTAGTACCGGAGCGGTTTAAAAACCATCCGTTTCGCGAAATCGTACGTTTGTCACCACCTCGCGTGGGTAGGTCTACAAATCTTTCGTATCGAACGATAATAATTCGAGGAGATAACGCATGTGCGGTTTCTCGTATTACTCGGCGATCGTTATACACCTCCGAAGTATATAATATGATACCACCACGGCGTCCTACGCCCTGAAGTTAACAAACCGAGTTTTTTGCTCGGCAAAAACGAGAGAAAAAAAGTAATAAAACAACATATCGACGACGGCGTGTACGGGCGGGCATCCGGTCAACGTTTATTGTGCAGCGGTTCTCAAACTTTTTCCAGCCCCCTTCGGACGTTACGAACGATCGCCGGAGCCCACCGAAAACCGGTAACGCTTAATTATTTTAGACCACGATTCGTCGAAGAACAATGTTTGCGGTTTACGGCGGTTTAATTTTACCGACTCGCTGTGTCAAAACAAACGTGTAGGCTTATTAATATTATTGTACAAATTAAATCGTCCACAGAAATATAATTGGATAACGATTACGAATTGGGTTTAATGCAGACGTGTTCCGCGCACACGGTTTGGTGCGTAATGTACGGGGGCGTGTGAACAACGTTTAGAGTAGTATAATAATATTGTAATAATAATGTGACGACGACAAGAAGACACGACGTACCAGTGCCGTTTAGTGTGCAAAATTCGTACACGTTATAGTTTGTATTATAAATTTATTGTTGTCGTTGCGACAAGGGGAAATGAGAATAATGAAAGAAAAAAAAATAAATTGAAAATAAAATCGAAATAAAAATAACGTATTATGTACTTCGTGCGTTTTAATAGCGTAAATCGCGTCGTGACGCCGCTCGCATATATTGGCAAACCTACTCGCTCGATTTTAATTATTATTCGACTGATGGATAAAAACTAAAAATGTTTTTTTTTTCCAGGGATATAAAATCGTTACAACCTTACAGCTCGTACTCGGCTCGTAAATTAAACCGAAATCGTTATAACGTATCGCGGAGGAATGTTCGTTTTCACGTTGCGACGTGTGTACGCAATAGGTTCTTCGCTGCAGTACCTATGTAATACCATATAAATATAACATAACACTTTTTAAAAACGCGGCGATCGTTATCCGCGTGGTTACGTATCGGAGTCACGGTTTGACGATGGGTTCGCGCGTACTAAATTATACGATATTGTGTGTGAGCATGTAATATTCCCCGTCTTTGTTAATTGTTATTCGTGATATCATGCGCCGCGGTAGACACGATGAGAAAAATAAATTATGAAAAAATATTAAAAATCCATGGTAGCTACCCGTGTGCAATACTAGTATTGCCGTCTTTTGGATCTTAGATTTGCGTGAGCGTAAGTCCAAATTGTTCGGATCGTGCCAAGCACTTCGACGATAAACACAACTACTCTTTCTCTCCTCTCGCACGCAATTCCCCGGTTTCTGGCTAAATAACATCCTTAGTACTTCGTGTACCTTGACAGTCCAGTATCGGAGATCATTTGTTCGACTAATAATGTTCTCGGTCTCCCTCACCTTCGATTTTTCCTTCTATTATTCTACATACAGACTAGTTCGTTTTCAATATGTGACCAATCGTTTTCCATCGACTTTGATAAATGCATAACTAAGTGTATTACGTACGATACGACGAGAGCGCGTACACATTAAACAGAATTTATTATACTCCCGAAATGTAAAACAACACGTCACTGCCGCCGGCGTTCGTATACACCACTACCATATTTAAAAACAATCAAAAACGAATACACCGTATTATACGTTACTATGATTATTAAAAGAATACGCGTGTAGGCCAGCTGTAAGCGATAATGTACGGTGTCTTCGTTGTTGGCTACGACGTCCACATCGAATTGCACATACTGCTATAAAATTATCATTTTTTTATCATTATTTAATCATTGTTAATAATTATTGGTAAATGGCATTGTTGTATGTGGTAGAAGTGGTCAAACTCAATTAACAACATTTGTTAAATTAATTTAATGTACGAGTAGCACAAAATACCGTAGTAAAAATAATAACCTAAATGAACTCTTAACTATCGATTATACGCAGAAACTAAAATATTAACTGTAAAACAACTTTTTTATCAAAAAACATTAATCTATATAAATCAAAAAAAAAAAATTAATAGAACCTGTTTTATTCATAAATATAATACTAGATTTGAATACGTCAACATTCTTAGAGTTAATACCTACTACTAATTTCGCTGACAGTTATCTGACAACTGGATTTCAGTAATGCCAAAAACTTCAAATAGTAAAAATCACTAGTATTTTAAACTATTAAAAAACAAATGGCTACTTATTAATTACTCATACTTTAGGATTTTTTTTAAAAAAAAGTGCATGTTTAATTAATAGTTATAAATAGTATTGTATTTTTATTATTTTCGCTAAGTTAATATAAATGAATATATTTAGTCTTATACCACTTAAGATATTTGTTATTTTATTTAAACTATTTAGAGACTCCGGTATATCATCACAAAGTTATCCTTAACGATAGCACAGCGTTACTGTAAATATTAATTCCTAAATGTTATTTTTTCTCTTGTATTACTTTGCTCAATAAAAATGTTATTGTGTAAATACGTATTGTAAAGCAGTCGGGTTTTGATTATTATTTCAATATCGAGCGTGAAAGAGTTTTGAAATCCGTACTTGAAATCTACACACGTATTATTGCACGGCAACTGCGTGTACGTATAACATGATATATGTAAAACAACCTTTTATTGATGGAATAAGCAATATATTATTACCGCGAGAGAAATCTAAGAAAAATAACGATATCACGTCATGATCATATCGTTGCGTACAGAAATCGGAAAACGTTTTGCCGCGATAATAATTACATTATTCGCGCGTTCATGTTTTTCGCCGGTGAAACACTAACGATGACCGCGCGTGCCAAAATATAAGAAAATGAAACGAACACCTACCTCCTACCCGATGACGACGACGACGATGACGACGACGACGATGGCTGTGACGGCGGCGAAGACGTTTAGAACAATGATTTGACCGCGCCGTTTTTATATTATTATCATACAGATGTAATTAAATTCCCGTCATATTTGACGACGTCTGCGAACAAAAGAACAATAATAAATCTTTGTTTTTGTCAAAAAACCAAAATAATTAAGATTCCTCCGGTTAGTTAAGAGAGAAGAGAAGAAGATAAAGAAAAAAAAATAATAAAATAAATAAATACGATGAAGGAGTGTGTCTGCCGGCTATCGTCTTGTACGAAATGATAAATGACCTCAAAAAAACACGGTCCGCCGGCCCACCATATAATACCATCTAAACAAACCCGGCTCCGTGTATTCTTTTTCGTATTCTACCCGAGTTTATACGCATCATATACGCCCGGCGACGTACGTACGTACGTATAAAATATATTATTTTTTTCTCTCTTAATTTTTATTTTAATTAAAATATGATTAACGAGCCAATACGGACGACCTCAGCGGGCTCAGAGAATTAGTGCACGCACGATAGATCCATCGCGCAGCGGCGGTGGCGGCGGAGATTATATAATGGAATCTAATTAGCTTCAAGGGTATACATATATATATATATATATACATTCGACGAAAATTCATTAAGACCGTTTAAAATATTATTATTGCGTTTAACGAAAAAATGAATTTCGCCCAACCCGTATACGCATACTTTTTCAAATTTTTTTTCTTTTCTTGTAGAATACACATTTTTTTCGATTTCGATGACTCACGCGTAATTCGTGCTCCCGAAATTGACACCGGGCTTTACGGCGCTTTTCATTAAAAATAATGACTCATATCGAATATTAGTATTTACGACGCGTACCGCGCACATTTCCCTTTCTGTTTTACTGTAGGGAAGAATTAAAAAAAAAAGAAAAAAAAATTGAACTCCTATTCATATGCAAACACACACAGAAGTGAGTACCCCTAGCACGTAACGAGTTCTCAAAGAGTATTAAAAAAAATATATATACCCCTTCTATATTTTATTATTGCTATTGTGTTTGTTTGTCGGTAACCCTTACGTTCTTTTTTTTCCCGATAAATATACATATAATGTATATATATATATATATGTGTACATAGTTCCCATCGCCCGTTATTAATATTTGCATAAGTCGACCGTACAGTCGCCATTTTGGAATCACGAACCCGTTTTAAGTTTCCTTTTGTTTTCGTCCTTCCTCCAATTTTTCCTAAACATATTGATCATGGTCAACTCCCATAATCCGCGTACATGTCACCCGACGCGCGCGCACTGCGATTGTCCCCCACGAGTAATAATACGATATGGTGGCACCCCAGTGCAGTTGTAGTGGGTACGAAATGGCTAGTTTTTTTCTTTTACCGTGTTCATATGCATAGATTTACATTTATTGTGTCCTCTGGACTTGATCGATTTCGAATTCAATAGCGAACGCGCGACGCAAAGAACGCGACGACGTTCAATCGCGACAAGGCTCGCGGTATCGTGTGTTCACTGGTTTTTTGCAATCGAGAGATTTCAATACCGTAACAAAGACATATCGGCCGGAGTGGTATCGTAAAGACTTCGACGTGCACGGAACACGTATCAAAAAACGCGTGCGCGCTCAATGCAATCGAGGACAAGGCCGTAAAAGATTTTACTTCCGGACGGGACTTGGGAGCCGTAAGGGTTTTGAACGACGACGGGCGACTATCGCGTTGGCAGGTTGATAAAACGACGGTTCTCCGTTTCGGTCGTGATGCTGAAAACGGTTATCGTTTCCGCGGACACAAGGACTCGTCCTGCATTCGACCGCTCGTGGTTACAGCCGAATAACGCTCAAGTAAGATCCGTGTGCGATTGGTTGGCGGTACGCGTCGCGCGGACGTGAAAACGAGCGTTGTTCTACGCTCGAACTGCGGAGAGACGGTGACAATAACGATTTGTAAAAAAAAATAATCAAACCCCCCCCCCCCCCCCCGTGACTATATTGTTAGTTTTAAGTTTTTCCGTCAACGCGTCGACAATCTCTCCGGTCGGTCCACGTACGTTTCCATTATTGCTATGTGGTTCACGGGTTCGGTTTGTCGCGTTTCGTACCATCGCGACGATTCAACGCACAGACGTCGCTACCGCTAATTATGCCGAATCGGCCGACCGTAACGTCAAACCGACGTCGGCGGTGCGGGAGCGAAATCCAAAACAATATGTATACAGAGGTGGAATGGGTAATCAATATGACATTATCGAGGGCCCAGGCCCAGGAGACGATCGCCTGTTTGTCTCCCTGGCCAGTCCACCCATGGCCGTCGATCATTTTTCCGCGCGTCAACACACGCGTGCGCGTTCACCGCCGAGTTACGTGCCGTACGTGATGCATGAATATCGCTGCGTACGGTTAGGTAGCCGTCACGGTCGATCCGGTTTTCTGTTAAATGTTTTTATTTTCACGTCGGTATTCGCCCGCGGACCGTACGATACACGCATTACATACGTGCGACGATCTCGCCGCGTAGAGTATCCGCGAACCGAAGTAAAAACGTTCGAGCGCGCGCGCGCCCACCGTCGAATCGAATTTTTTAAATAAACATACGCGCCAACGGTGTACGCATGTGCGCACGATATCGCGTAATCATAATATTAAACGAGTTTTTTTTTAATTTAATTTTAATTTTATATTTCATATTTTCGGAGAAGCGCGTAAAAACGTCCTCGTCTCACTGCGAGACCGAACGCAGCAGATGCGTACGACGTCGGGATCATCCTCGTCATATAATATATTGTAACGTTTCACTCGTCGAGAGCCGAACGATTTTAGAAATACGTGTAAAAACGGATATCTGTGCGACGGAACGCGATGGACGCCGCGGCATCCGAACCGATTGAAACCCAGACAAGCTGACGATTAATTTTCATATATGTTACAATAAAAACGTGCTATATCTATTTTAACGTATGTACATACGTGGTTTATATATATATATTTACACATCGAAACATATACACATATAGTAGTGCACAATATATAATATTATAATTTTTTGAATGAATGAATTCGTTTTTTTCTCTTACGTTTTATGTCTGTGTGTACGAGAGTGTGCGCGCGTATCTATCAAAAGTGAAAGGATGTAACACATTTGTTATGTTAATAAGATTTATTTAATAACCGACGATGCTTGGTGAATATGTAAATGCACGATTCTTTTGTTGGGTATTTACAATATTTTCGTGTAATCTGTGATAATGAATGCGACGCAGCATCCGACCCTATTTAACAAAAAATATATATATGTATATCGGAGTGTATAAAATAGCTTTTAAGACAAAAATATTAAAAGAACACACGAATTTTACTTATTGACGGGTGCACGTTTCCTAACCGGATCGCGCGTACAACGAAATCTTAATTCCCGTATAGGTCTGTAACCAGCCGAATACTATATAATACACTAACATTTTCACGGTATACGATTGCCTAAAAGCACTGTTTGTTTTTCTATGTAACACGTCATTAGTACACCGTTTGAAAAAATCATGATATCATCGTCATAGAAGAGGAGCACGAACGGAAATAACTATTATAATAAACTAACGATGAAAATGTACAATATTCGAAAGCACGTATAATTTACGATTTACATGTTTATTTATAATATTCGGTTACAATAAAACGAGTTCTTTTCGTATGCGTATAAAATTAATACACACGACCACGGCCAGCCGTATTTATTGTTCGACAAGAAATCGTGAGCCCCCCGTTCTCGCTTTGTCGCAGTGTACGGTGTTCGGCGATCAGATGATAATAATTTGATATTGCGATTTGGACGCTTTAAATCAATCAAAGCAACGTATGAAAACTACTGTAAATAGTAAACATATAATAGTATTAGTGTAGTTAAATTTAAACGTAGTTTGTTTGTGGAAAAAAACAATGATTATGCAACGCGCGATGTATTTATAATATGTCGTGTACAGTAAGTAGCAGTGCATGCACTATAATATCCGTTCTGTTACCTACGGACTCGGTTAACTGCTAGAGTTCGTATTTCGGCTTATTCGAGAAAACGTGACAAGCAGCTGATCGATCGGACCGGTTGGCGTATAATGTTATACGGACATATATAATATGCGAAGGTCGGCGGAATGCCGAAATCTTGAGACTGCCAACCAACACACTGAAGGTCTGGAAGTCAGTTTTAACGTGTGATCATTAAAACGAAAAAAAGTGCAAATACAAATTAACGTATAGCGTATTTTTACGGAAAAATAAATAAATAAAATGAACACGTGCTCGGGCAAAGCTGTACAGCGTTCGCGAGACATTTCACCTAAACGCGGTGCGTACACTACTTGTGTATTCCGCTCGTCGTTGTTCGTAACGCGAACGGCTCGCGTTTTACGACGGAATAATGCGAGAAATCCAAACGATTTGATTTTTATCGATTTTTTTTTTTTAGTTTATTAACTTTTCACTATCGATTCGTACCCGAACCGCCCAGCAATATCTTTTACGTTCGTATATTGAATCTACGTTTTCGGTAAGCGAAAAACCCACCGCGCGCGCGGTGCATGCGTGTACGCGACGTGCAATAAGTGCCCGGATAGGAATAATGACCGATGATCGTTCGACCGTTGCGCACGACGACATTGCGACGGATTTTATGGGAGAAACATTTGGTTTAAAACGTACATCAATACGCGCAGGGATGTAAAGAAGTTGTTATTTGTTGAACAATAGCCGAATGATCGCGACACGATATTTTCGATATTTCAATACGAACTGGTAATATCGCGATATCGCCAAATTTCTTTTCCACCGCTGCACAACAATAATAATAATAGATAATACGTATTATTATGTCGTACGCGAACAGGAATGTGACCTCATATTCTATACGCACACGTAGATATCTCGACGGAACGCGTGTTTAAGTCGTAACGCGTTGATAAATTGTACACACAATAAAATTACATTTGTATAAATGTATATGTATATAAATTAAACATATACGTACTATATATATATACATATATTATTGTAACGCAAACGTGATTTAGTATTAATTCGAATTAGCAGGTGTTTCGATTCGTACCCGTAATACGCCGTA